CCTTAGCAGAGAGACGACGAGAAGATCAACAGGGACATGCTCATTCAACAAATATTTCCTGAGCATATGCTATGTGCCCGACAGCCGCGCTGGGCCCGGGACCCAATGGCTGTTTTAGGTCAGGTTCCCTGGAACCAGACTCCGAGAGGGAGATGTGGGCACAGGTTTACTGGAGTGCCCTTGGGAATATCACCTGTAGGACAGCGAAGATGGCAGTGTGGTTGGCAGAAGTTGGGACAGCCAGTGTAGTCCCAACAGAGGCCTCAGCCCCTCCCAAGGGAAGCTCTGGAGGCGACAGGGCCCTGCTGAGATACACCAAATTGAGGCCAGGGGGGCGAGGCCTTTATTCCCCTTATCAACTAGTCTGACAGGATGGCTGCTTCCAGGAGAGGGCACTTGGGCGAGGCAGCTCCCCTGGCTGAGGGCAGTTCCCAGGGAAGCTGACAACCTTCAGGGCAGCGGAGATGTCCCACTTTATCCCCTCCTCGCCTAGCCTCTGAGCAGCACAGCCAGGGGAGATCGTATTTTAATCCCAAAGGCAAGAATGGCTAGACCTTTTATGGATTCAGTACCATCGTTTCTTATTTTGTTGACTACTTTTTACTCCCAGCTCTCTGATTCATTCATTTGGTGACGGTGACGATTTGTTGAGTGCAGCCTCCCTGTCAGGCTTTTTGCACATCAACTGCTTTGTTCGGTCTCATGGGGGAGACAGACAAGTTAATGCATAGTTAGACTGTGGTGGAGTGGAGCACAGCCCAGGGGATGATTAACTTTGGGGGTGGATTCTGGGAAGGCTTCAAAGAAGAGGTGTCACTCAAGGCGGATCTCGGAGGATGATTAGGATTTTTGCAGACCTATGGGATGTAGAAAGGAACAATATATGCAGAGGACACATTAGTGGGTTTCTGAGGGTGTGACCAGGTTGTAGGGATAGGAGTGGATGGGTTCCTGGGACCTGGCTCAGGCCTGGGAGCCATTTGAGACTGGTTGTGCCACTGTGTGTGTACCAAGTGAGACAATGTTTATCAAAATGCTGCTTGAGCTGGAAACACAAGGGGAGGCAGCAGGAGAGGAAGAGTGAATTCAAATCCCAGAGAAAGCAGTTATAGGCCTCAGAAGAATGCATGGTCTAGCTGGGGAGGAAGAGCACAGAAACAGTAGGTGCTGCTAGCCAGAAGCCCGCAAGTACATGTGTTGGGTCCCAACATCACAGATGCACTGGATCCTCTTTCCTCCTGCATATTCAAGGACTTGTCTTCTAGAATTATTCTCTTTCCCCTTCACTGTCCGTTTTTTTTCCTCTCCATAGGCTCATTTTCATCAGGTAAAAACTTGCTGTACCATCTCCTATTTAAAAACAAACCAACAAACACCCACACCCCTTCCAGTGATGTGAGACCACTCTCCAAACATGTCCCCCAGTTCCATGCTCTCCTCCTTCACAGCACAACTTAAGAGAGTTGCTCATCCCATTGTTTCCACTTCCCTTCCTCCCATTCTCTATGAGGAGCAATCCTTTTTGTCAGCTTCCTCTGCTAGAACATAGAATCTGTGGCAAAGGTATTTGTTTTGTTCACTGACAAATCTGCATTGCCTAGAATAGTACCTAGCACATAGCAGGTGCCCAACAAATACTGAGCTAATCCATGATCTGTCTCTAGAACCTACTCGGATCTGTTTTTTTTTTTTTTTTTTTTTGTATCCACAGCTCTTCAGAAGTGGCTCCTGTTAGGGTTTCTAAGGACCTCCTTATTGTCCCAGTGGTCAGCTCTCAGCCCTCACCTGACTTGATCTGTCAGTGGCATTTCACACCATTGAGCAGTCCCACTGTCCTGAAAACTTCCGTCATGTGTCCTCCAGAAGCTCAGACTCTTCTGGATCCCTCTGACCTGACAGCAGCCTCTTTTACCAGATCTTCCTCTTCCCAACCTATAAATCTTGGTGAGCTCCAAAGCTCCTGCCTTTTTCTTTATACTCAGTTCTGTGGATTTAAAAGCCAGCTTTACACGATGGCTCTCAAATTTATATCTCCAGCCCAACGTTACCCCTTATTTCTCCAATATTTGCTTCACGAGAGCACTCTGTCTTGTTTGAGACTGTATTCCCAGAGCACAGAATGGAGCTGACACCTCGTTGGCCCTCCAGTGTTTGCTGAAACAAGAGCAACAGACTTGCACAGCAGGGCAGTCCCCTCAGCCAGCCTTCCTGGACACACCTGAAACATGTGAGAGGTTTTGAAACAGGAACAGAGTTCTTCCAGGAGTAGCCACACACTCACTCTTAGTGACTGCCAAGGTTTTGAATAAAGAGATTGACTCTGGGATGCCTGGGTGGCTCAATGGTTGGGCGTCTGCCTTTGGCTCAGGGCATGATCCCAGTTTAGGGATCTAGTCCCACATCAGGATTCCTGTGAGGAGCCTACTTCTCCCTCCGCCTGTGTCTCTGCCTCTCTCTGTGTGTGTCTCTCATGAATAAATAAATAAAAAATCTTAAAAAAAAAAAAAGATTGGCTATTTAAAAGAACTTAAAGTGGTACGTCAGTTATGTCCGTCAGTACATCAACAAAGCAAAATAATTAGAATTGAAATTCAGGGAATTCTATTTTATAAAATTTTAACGAGAAACACCTTGGTTTGAGTGTTGCCTTCATTAATCAGGTTTTCTACTTAGCCTTTGCCTGCCTGATTATATATAATATAGAGGATGGACTCTGTATTTTAGGGAGGAAAAGCTGGAAAATAAATGTGCACAAGAAAGACCAGCAGGAGGGAGGGGGGTTGGAGAGATAGCAACCTGTCCAAGCCGACTTTGCCAGCAAGCAGCTTCCACTTTATCATTACCCACCAGAAGCTACCAAACCCCCTGGAATTTCTGTTAAAAGGGAGTAGATTGGTGTTTGTTGAAGGCCTGCTGCTACCAAGACCACATGTTTTTCCCATGTGATCTTCACCAGAACGCTTTGAGGTAGATATCATTACTGCATTTATTTTACACACAAGGAAACTGAGGCTCAGGTCAGGTAAGCTACTTACTCAGCATCAGAGGTGTTAAGTGCTGGAGCTGAGATTCACACTGTCCTAAGTCTGTCTTGAGCAGAGGCCATGTTTTCCTTTAACCTGTATGCCAGAAGCCATTTTCAAGTATTGCTAACACCTTAAAGCAACCAGGTATCAATCACACATACAGAGCTTTTTATTAAGTTGAAATTACTGAAATCCAACACATTTATTTATTAGCACCTGCTGTGTGCAGATACTGTTCTAGGGGCTGGCTATATAGCAGTGAACAAGACAGATACAAGTCTTTGCCTTCATGGAACTTCCATTTCAATGGGGATGACCAATCAAACTCTATTAAGTAAATGAAGATTGTTATTGGTTATAATGAAGGATGCAAAGGAAATCAACACAGTAGTAGGATAAGCAGTGGTGGAGTGGGGTGAAGGGTGTGCTGCTTTAAACCGACTGGCCAGGAAAGACCTCTTCTGAGGGGACCACTGAGCCGGGGCGTGGAGGATTAGAAGTGGACAGCCAGGCCAGAGCTTGGGGAGGAGCATTCTAAGCAGAGGGAGGAACAAGGATCAAGGGCTCTGAGGTGGGAATGTTTGTTAATCAGTAGAAGGAAACTAGTATTTGTTGGGGGTGGAGAACAGAGGAAGAGTGGTGGAGAATGGAGTCCAAGAGGAAGACAGGGGTCAGATGATTCTTCTTCTTCTTCTTCTTCTTCTTCTTCTTCTTCTTCTTCTTCTTCTTCTTTTTTAAGATTTTACTTATTTATTTATGAGACAGACACAGAGACACAGGCAGAGGGAGAAGCAGGCTCCCATGCAGGGAGCCTGACATGGGACTCGATCCCGGGTCTCCAGGATCCCCCCCTGGGCCAAAGGCAGGTGCTATACCACTGAGCCACCGGGCTGCCCCAGGGATCAGATTCTATAGGGTAAAGCACTTTGACAAGGGCAGTGGACAGCTATGAAAGAATCTAGATAGGGAAATTATGTGATTTGGTTTACATTTTTTAAGCTTTCTCTTACCAGAGAGTAGACTGTGGGGGGCAAAAGAGGAAGAGGGGAGATGAGGTAGGAGGTGGTTTCTGAAGTCCAAGGAGAGCTGATGGCAGTTGGGACTAGCATGGCAGCAAGGAGCTGGACAGAGGTCATACTTTGAGATGTGTTTTGAAGATGCAGCCAACAGGCCAATTTTAATATATGTTAAGTTGTACTGTCCAATACAGTGACTATGGGCACCATGGCTATTTAAATTTAAGTTTGAAAAATTCAGCTCTTTTACACGAGCCACTTTTCAGTAACCACATGTGGCTAGTGGCTACTCTGTTGGACAATGTAGGCATGAGACATTCCCATCATTACAGAAAATTCTCCTGGACAGTGCTGGTAAGGCATTAGGACAGTGGCCAATACATTTAGGGAGTTAAGTAAATGATAAATATTAACTATACTTGTTATGTCATTAGTTCTTTTTCTCCCCATGTATTTACTTGCTCAGCCACATCTTTATTAAATACCTCTTTTGCCCTTGCTTTATTATACTAAAGTCATGCACTACCTGGGTTCTCAAACAAAAGAATGTGATCGGGGAGGATCACCTCCCAGGAAAATGGACCTTACGAGTGAGAGAGAGCCCGACCTGATACTTGAGGGCTCTAAACCCCCACAGGAAGAAGAGATTGATTCTCGTGGAGCTGGGGGTAGGGGTTCAGAAGAGAGGAATTTGGACTTAGCCTGGGCTACTGGACTTAGCCATGACTGCTAGCCAGATGGAACCTTGACCTGAGACGTACTCCCCACAGTCAGTTCTGTATATCACAGTTTACAGAGCACCCTCACCCATGCCCATCTTCCAGAGTCTGGGGGAGATGCAGGGCCTGGCAAGAGCCCTTGTCTGGGTGACCTGGTTACAGCCAGGAGCCAGACTTCATGTTATTCTCCTAAGACACCCTGCTTTCCTTAGGGCTGAGGGTTTCCTCTGCAGGTTGCAAGCATGAGGGTGACCAGCTCCTCCTCAAAGCCCCCTCCCTCCTTGATCATCGTGGGGGTTGTGTTCAGCTTGTAGGCCCACCAGGATGGAGGGGAATGCTGAAATGGAGATGCTGAGGACACTGAAGGGGCCCTCCACAGGAGAGGTCAACGTGCACCTGGTGGCCAGAGACAGCCCAGGTTCCGGCTCTCACCTGCCGGCTACCGCCTTCATCATCCCAGGTGGGCCAAGCCAGGGGCCCCGGGGGGTGGGGGGAGCATCCCCATACCTGCCTGAGCAGGTGTGGATCCCGGGAAGGACGTACTTTCATCTGCCTACACACATGCATGGGGCGGGGCCACGAGGCTCACCTGTGCCATGTCTGTCTATTTGTTCGCAGCCGGCTCAGCCACCCTTGGTCTGCCCAGCAGTGCCCTGGATGTTTCCTGTTTTCCGCGGGAGCCGATCCATGTGGGCGCCCCGGAGCGCGTGGCCGGCAGCCTACCTGTCACGGCCACCGCTCTGCCGCAGTTGAGCGCGGAGCCTGCGGCCAGCGCCAGCGCCGCTACCGTGCGGCTCCTGGAGTGGACCGAGGCCACGGCCCCGCCTCCTGGGAGCGGCCTGCGGGTCGGTGTCTGCGGGGATTGGCGGGGGCGGGGCGGGGCGGGGGCGGGGCTCGCGGCGGGGGGCGGGGCGGGGGGGGCGCCAGCGAGGAGGCCCCCGGGGGCGGCTCCGGGTGAGGGACTCGAGCCGCGTGGCTTGCGTGGAGGCGCTCGGAGCCTGGCGGGCTGCTGGGGGCGCGGCCTGCGCGAGGCGCCCCCGAGCCGAGCCCTGCGGGGTGAGGCGGCGGGCGGGGACCCTGCCGCTCGGAGGCGGGCCGAAGGGGGCGGGAGTCCCGGCCTCAGACCCTCGCACGCTCCAGTTCCGGATAAGCGAGTACGCGCCGCTGAACATGGTGGGAGCGGAGCAGCCCCCGAGCCCCGAGCTGCGGCCGGAAGGTGTGGCCGAATGTGAAGACCGCGAGGCCCCGGCGGGAGGTGGCGATGCGGGCACCCAGCCGCCGGGTAGGACCCTCCAGGCCCCAGGCTGGGGCCCTGCCCGGGTGCGGCGGGCCGAGCTCGCCGAGGGGTCTTCACGGGCGGGGGCGTGTTGGGGAGGGGAGGATGGGGTGGCTGGCCTGGGTTCTGCAGGTCCACCCAGGGATTGTCCTGAGGGGAGAAGGCCGTGGGGGCGCCTGTCCGGGGGAGCCCGAGGGGGCGTGGGCTCCGAGGTGGGCGGAGCCTGAGGCCCCTCTGGCCCCCACAGCGGACCTCCCCCAGGATCCTCCTGAAGACCCTCCGCAGAACCCCCCAGAAGAGGATGGCACCTGTCAGTGCCAGGAGTGTGGCCCTCAGCAAAGTGCAGGTCCAGATCCTGCTTGCTCCAAAGATGACTGCCCCCAGCTGTTCCAAGAGCGGTGAGGGGGAGGGGATTGCAGCCCTGCTTGCTCGGCCTTGGGGTGGGGGGGGGGGCAGTCACCATTCCTGCTCAGGGCTCAGGAGAGGGACTGGGCGGTGGTGGGTGGGAGGTTCTCTCTCTCAGGCCTTCTGTCCCTCAGGTCAGTCATAGTGGAGAACTCCTCAGGCCAGAACTCCTGCACCAGCACTTCTGAGCTTCTCAAACCCATGAAGAAGAGGAAGCGCAGGGAATACCACAGCCCATCAGAGGAGGAGTCAGAGCCTGAGGCCCTGGTAGGAGGAGGGCAGGGGGGAGGGGAAGGGGAGGCTAGAGGCTACATGCCAATGCCCACTGTCCTCTCCATTAATCCAGGTGGTAGGGCCAGGCCAGAGGAGATACATGATGAGTCAGTCATCGTATTTTAGGGTCCCATGTGATCAGGTCCTGTACTTGGTAGAGGAAATGATTAAATCACCCTTTTGCTTTTCTGGGGCTCCCATCTCTGTCTAGTGTCAGGGCTAAGTCACATTCACATAAACCAGTACCCAAGTAGATGTGTAGGCAGATGGAAAGCTCCATCACTGGATCCAGTCACGAGGCCAGAAGCAGAGACTGTTGCAGAGAAGCTGGAAGAGGCAGAGCATGAAAGTTCCAGTGGGCAAGTAAAATCAACACACAGCAGGTCTGAGGAATGAGGAGGATTACAGTCAGACTGTGTAACTAGGGGCTGTATGCTCATGTGAGTTTGCACCCACGTGGTAGGAGGTTGTCTGCTGGAGCTGTGTTCCTGCTGGTAGCCTAGAAGGAATTCCGCTTGGTTGGGACAGTACACCATGTGACCAAACAGCCAGGCAGGGGCCTGGAATAAAGTCTGGGGCTTCACCTCAACCCATGAGGACAGGAATCAGGCTCGCCTTCCTACAGGAGAAGCAAGAAGAAGGGAAGGATCCAGAGGGACAACCGACTGCTAGCACCCCAGAAAGTGAGGAGTGGAACAACAGCCAGTCTGGTATGGTGGCCTCTGTGTATATGTGTGTGTGTATGTGTGCGTGTGTGTGTATGTTGATGTGATGTGTGTATACACTTTTGGAGGTGTGAGGCTGGGAGTAAGGGTTATGTATGTGATGGTGTGTTGTACATATATAGAGGAGTATAAATTTGTGTGTGAGAGAGAGAAAAGAGAGAGAGACAATGTTTCTGGTTTATGCGTTAGCATATGTGTATTTGGGGGAAATATATCATGTTATTTGTTTATCCTCTGTTATCCAGTTGTGAATAGGCCTCACTCTCAGGTTCAGGATCCAAAGATTAAAACAGTTTTTGGTAGCACATGGCATTGCTTCCCTTTGGTGGTATGAGCAAGTTTGTACTGGTCATTGGACTGACCTTGCTATTTGAGGCCCCATTCTGGCCTTTTGGTTCTAAGAAGGGGAAACAGAGACCATTCAATAGTCAGCTCTGGCCCTCAGGACTCGATTCTAGTCAACTATTGCTAAGTAACGTTTATCACACTTGTAATCATCTAGGTACTCTATAACAGCTTGTTGAATGTCTATCTTCCTCCCTCAAAACAATTTATTTTATTAATCATTGCATCCCTGGTGCTTAGCTCAGCGACTAGTGTTGAATAGACTCTCAAATGTTTTATTAGTACATGAATGCATGAGTTGCATGTTGGTAATTCCTCTCGGACCATGGCTCAGTTGCAAGAATCTTAGAGAGAGCCAGAGGGTGAGGTGAGTTCCTAGGACATTCTACCTTGATGGATCCAGTACCAGCCAGAGGAACCCAGTCTGTGTCCTGGGCTTCAAACTCTGTAGTGCCTGTTAGAAATTTTGCTCATCACAACCAAACCAGATTTTCATTACTGTCTCTCACCCAAAGCTCTCACATCAGAAGCAAAAGTATAGCTCTCATAGGAGACAGTGTCTAACCACTCAACTGCTTTGTCTTACTTAGGGAAATAGATTCATGAACCATCATTCTTTTAGCTGGGTCCTGTTGACCAGTACACAATTATCTTTTGATTCATACCTTTTGCCATCTCAACTGTGAACATAGGTGTGGCATTGGTTTCTGGATATTTCCCCCTTTTGTCTTTTTTTCTTTTTTCAAGGGAAGATACTCTATCAGTTGACAGAAATTTGCATTTATGGCTAATTTTTTTCCACTTGTTTTTGGGGTCTTTTGGCAGAAGAATCTAGCATGAGGGATGGAGGTAGCAGGGTTGCTTTAGTGTCCTATGTGTGGAAAACCTGTGTTTATAGTTTATGTCTATACTCTGTTTGGCAGTTGGATGGCTAGCTACTGGGTTCATGTTGTAAGGGAGGACATATCTAGTTCTGATGGAATGTTCCAATAGTTTGAGAGATAGAGCTGTTCAAAAAAAAAAAAAAAAGAGTTAGAGCTGTATAACTCATGTATGTACTCAGCCTCTCTCTCTCTCTCTCTCTCTCTCTTTCTTTCTTTCTTTCTCTCTCTCTCTCTCTCGTATGTATCTGCTTTGTCTTTTCAATGACTGCTTTGTGTGAGGATTTATTTTCTTACCATGGTAAAAGTCTTCACAATATATTTAGTCATTAATAGCAATTCTGATATTCTTGTGTCACCTCTCATTCTACCCACATCCACATCAGGTATCTGTGGTGGCATTCTTCAGGGTCAACTTGTTAGAGCCTTTTCAGATTCAGAGCAGTCCTCTCCAAGTATCCTGTTCTGTCTCCCTATAGTTACCTTAGATTCTGTCTCCCTATAGTTACCTTAGACATAGATTTTTGCCCATTCTCTCTCTCTCTCTCTCTCTTTTTAAGATTTATTTATTTATTTTAGAGAGTGGGAGGGGCAGAGGGAGAAGGCCAGAAAGAATCTTTTTGTTTTTTTTAAATATTTTATTTATTTATTCATGAGAATGCACAGAGAGGAGAGAGAGAGGCAGAGACACAGGCAGAGGGAGAAGCAGGCTTCATGCAGGGAGCCCGACGCGGGACTCGATCCAGGGTCTCCAGGATCACACCCTGGGCTGCAGGCGGCGCTAAACCGCTGAGCCACCAGGGCTGCCCGGCCAGAAAGAATCTAAAGCAGACTTCCTGCTTTAGATTGGGCAGAGCGCAATACAGGGCTCAATCTTATGACCCTGAGATCATGACCTGAGCTGAATTCAAGAGTTGGATGCTTAACCAACTGAGCCACCCAGGCACCCCACATATTACCCATTCTTTTTTTTTTTTTTTCATTTTTACCCATTCTTAATTGGGTTGTTTATCTTCTTATTGTTAATTCTTTGTATATTCTGCATATAAGTCCTTTGTCAGTTGTATGTGTTACAAATATTTTCCCCTAGTCTATGGCTTGCTTTTTCCTTTCTAAATGGTGTTTTTTAAGGAGAAAAATGTTTTCATTTTGATTCATGCCCACTTTATCCATTTTTTGCAGTTAGTAATTCTTATATATCTTTACAAAGTACAGTTTTTTAACAGCTTTATGGAGATGTAATTGTTATACCATGTAATTCACCCGTTTGACTTGTAGGATTCAGTGGTTTTTAGTGTATTCACAGAGTTGTGCAGCCATCACCACAATTAATTTTAAAACATTTCCATCATTCCGGGGATCCCTGGGTGGCGCAGCGGTTTGGCACGTGCCTTTGGCCCGGGGCGCGATCCTGGAGACCAGGGATCGAGTCCCACGTCGGGCTCTCTGCATGGAGCCTGCTTCTCCCTCTGTCTGTGTCTCTGCCTCTCTGTCTCTCTCTGTGACTATCATGAATAAATAAATAAAATCTTTAAAAAAAAAAGAAACATTTCCATCATTCCAAAAAGAAACCCTGTACCTATTCCCTCCAGACCACCCATCTTCCTGTAGTCCTAGGCAACCCCAGGTTTATTTTTTGTGGATATGGATTTGCCTATTTTGAATATTTCACATAAATGGGATCAGATAATACATGGCAATGTGTGACTGGCTTCTTTCACTTAGCACAGCATTTTATTTATTTATTTTTTAAACTTTTTTTTTAATTTTTATTTATTTATGATAGTCACACACAGAGAGAGAGAGAGGCAGAGACACAGGCAGAGGGAGAAGCAGGCTCCATGCACCGGGAGCCCGACGTGGGACTCGATCCCGGGTCTCCAGGATCGCGCCCTGGGCCAAAGGCAGGCGCCAAATCGCTGCGCCACCCAGGGATCCCCTTATTTATTTTTTTTAAAGATTTTATTTATTTATTCATGAGAGAGAGGCAGAGACAGGCAGAGGGAGAAGCAGGCTCCACACAGGGAGCCCGACGTGGGACTTGATCCTGGGTCTCCAGGATCAGGACCTGGGCTGAAGGCAGCGCCAAACCGCTGGGCCACCAGGGCTGCCCTAGCACAGCATTTTCAAGGTTTATCCACATTGTAGCATGCATCAGTACCTCATTCCTTTTTATTGCTGAATGATACTCCATTGTATGGATGTATCACACTTTATTTATCAATCAGTGGGTGTATGGGTTGCCTCCACTTTTTTCTCCTGCGGGGAACCTGGTGTGGGACTCAATCCCAGGACCCTGGGATCGTGACCTAAACTAAAGAACTAAAGGCAGATGCTCAACTGCTGAGCTATCCAGGTGGCCCTCATTATGGTTGTTGATTTGCATTTCCCTGATGGCTAATGATGTTGAGCATCTTTTCATGTGCTTATTGGCCATTTATGTATTTTCTTTGGAAAAATATTTATTCGGAGCCGTGCCATTTTTTAATTACATATAAGAAACACATTTTATATTAAAATATGAGGAGTGCCATATGGAATTGGGCAACAAATTGTTGTGATTCAATGTGTGTGTGATTCAATATAAGTCATTAATCAGTATATCTCTTATAAATGCCTTCTTAATCAAGGTCCCTAATCTAAATTTACATTCAAAATTCTGTGAACTGTTTATTTTCCTGGGGAGATGGTCCATGGCTTCTGTTAGGTTTTCAGAAAGGTCCATTTATACTTACTAGAAACTGAAGGCCAGGTAAAGAGTAGACCATAGCATTATGGAGCCCATCCTCGTGAGTTTGGTGTTCCCAGGCATGGATCCATATAAGGTATATGTTGAACACAAATAGCGGTCTCTTGATTAAGTTTTCTGTTTTAAAATGAACTGATTATGAATTGGCTAGCCATGCTGCGGAAGAGGTGAAGACAGACATTTATCTGTAGCAAAGAACCCAGCACATGGCTGGCACCCTGCTGACTCTTTGTAATTGGTTATTCCCGAACCATGGCATTCTGCTCTTCTCTTTACGTTTTCTGCCTCTCCTGAAGACCTTGTAGTGAAAAGTCTGACTAGAACCAATAATTTGCAGATTATCTCTACCTAAATGACTGAAGCAATGCTGAAGGAACTTCCTTTTTTTTTTTTTTCTTTTTTTTTTTTCTGAAGGAACTTCCTAAGAGAGTGAACAGAAAAAGAGAAAATGGGAGGGAATGACTGTCATTCCAGGGATTCACCACTGAGTAGCTGGGTTTAGGGGAGGGAAAGAAGAATCACTGCCAACAAGAGAAGAGGAGGAAAATCCAGCTAAGAGAGCTCAGCAAGACGAAAATGCTCAGCTGGAAGGGGAGTTGTAGCAGATGGAGATGAAGAGAGTTGAGGAATGAGTCATTGGACTGTGGCCTTGGGGTCTCAAGAGAACAGTCTCACTAGCGTGCAGACGTAGGCATGAACTGGGTGATTAAGAAGGAAATGTATCAGAAGGATGTAAAGTTGTTCATAATACTCCCCTTATCTTTTTAAAATCTGCGGGATATGTAGATATCCTCTTTTTTATTTCTCTCATTACTATGTGTGCTTTCTCTGTTTCTTTTCTTTCCAGCTTTATTGAGATCTAAGAGTTCAGGGATGCCTGGGTGGCCCAGTGGTTGAGCGTCTGCCTTTGGCTCAGGTTGTGATCCTGGGATCATGGGATCGATTCCCGTATCAGGCTCCCTTCATGGAGCCTGTTTCTCCCTCTGCCTGTGTCTCTGCGTCTCTCTCTGTGTCTCTCATGAATAAATAAAATCTTTTTTAAAAAAATAAGAGTTCAGACAAGCAAAACACAATACTAGCCCTTAGAGAGCTCACAGTCTGGTGTCAGGGAGAGATATGAACAGGTAGTTATTATGCAATGGTAGAGTAAGTGTTCTGTTTAAGGTACGTAGGTGCAAAGGACTGTCACGGAACAAACTCTGCCTCATGTAGCCGAGGAAGGCTTCATGGAGTAGATGTGGTGACATTCCATCTATGCATGCACCCACACATCCATGCATCCAAGCATCGAAGCATCCATATGTTCAGTCATCCATACATCCATGCATGTGTATATCCATCCTTCTAGTCATTTATTTAACAAACATTTGGTGGTCATCTTTCTGTGTAAAACCTTGTGCTAGGTGCCAGAGCTGGGTCTTGAAGGATGAAAGAGGATAGGAGGATGGGACAGGGTGGGGGCAGGATCTCTGAAGCAGAGGGTTTAGAATGTGCAAAGGCACAGAAGCACACAAGGGCATGGAAATGCATGATTAGGCTAGTTCATGGAGAGCTTTGTATGCTGCAGAAAGGTATTTGAGTTTTTGTATTTTTTGATTGTAAATGAGAAGCCATCCTAAACTTTAAAGCAAAGAAATAAACCAGTTTTATTTTAGAGCTAATCTGGTAATAGACTGAATCTGAGGCAGAGAAGTCAGTCCAGAGGCTCTTGGACCAGGCCCAAAGCAAAATGAACAGTGAGCATGGAGAGGTGGGGATAGATTCAAGAGCCAGCTAGAAGTTGGAGTCGGCAGGACTCAGGGACTAGGGGAGAAAAATGAGACATAAAGGATCCCTCCCAAATTCCTGGCCTACGTGGCTGGTTGAATAGATGCTGGTACCACAGACTGAAATAGACTATCCGAGAAGGCCACAAGCTTTGGTGGAAAAGTTAACAAGTTTGGTTTGGGACAGCTTGAGCTAGCTGAAGAATGTGCTAGCCAAGAGCTTCTAGTCTAAGGAAGCAGGAATAAGCTAAGGAACACTTCTGGAAGTCAAGAGAGGATCAGGGGAGCCCTTGGGTGGCTCAGTGGTTGAGCGTCTGTCTTTGGCTCAGAGCGTGATCCTGGAGTCCCAGGATCGGGTCCCACGTTAGGCTCCCTGCATAGAGCCTACTTCTCCCTGTGCCTCTGTTCTCTGCCTCTCTCTCTCTCTCTCTCTCTCTCTCTCTCTTACTTGAATAAATAAATAAAATCTTAAAAAAAAAAAAAAAGGATCAGTCCACAGGGAGACTATACCATACCTTGGGACACACTGTAAAAAGGTGCCCTTTCTGAGTAGACCCAATTAGAAAAAGGCAACCTTTCTTTGTAGTAGACTCAGCCACATGGCTCGGATGCAGGTTTCACTCAGGAGAGAGGATAGTGGGAAGTCATGTGGTGTAGGTTGGTGTGTCAGTGTAAGTTTCTGAGAGAGTCTGATGGCTTGGTTGATAAGTGAATGAAGAAAATCCTTGCTTTGGCCCAGCCGGGTCAGATGATTGGGCTCTGGAGGCTTTCAGTACAGTGACCAGGGAACTTAGGCAGCTCCTAGGGAGAAGCTTCTAGCCACTTAGGTTCCAACCAAAGAAAAAAGCATCTTCCTGAATGACAGATCACTCCACATCTGAATGATCTAGGGCAGTAGCCGAGTGAGCCACAGCACAGCTGAGGAAGACTCCAGATAAGACAGGCTTAGTTAGAGCTCTAGAAAGACCAGAAACACAAGACCAGTACTTTGCATTGTGTGAGGATCTTTTACTCCCAGCATCTCATTTACTCCTCCCAATGACTTTCTGGTAGATGAAGTTGTCTGCATACTGCAGATGACAAAATTGAGGCATAGAAATTACTAGAAGAAGCTGGAGCTGTTTACCCAAGGGATATGAATTGACTTTTGCAAGAAGTTGCCTCTTCATTCTCTGTGGCTGCTCAGGCTGACCTTATGAGCCTAACCTTACATGTTGCCAGGTATTTTAGTTATTAAAGGATGATTCTCTTCAGTGCTGGAGGCCAGGTCTCCATCACAGCTAAGCTGAAGTTCCTGCAGGGGAATTGGTCTCCCCTTCCCCAGGACCTGGAGACTCCAAGGGCTGTAGGCCCTGACTGTAGTGTGTGCACACGTGTGTGTGTGTGTGTGTGTGTGTGTGTGTGTGTGTGTGTGTGTGTGTCTGGGAGGGCCATAGAATCCATCTCTATTCGGTGGGCATGCTGAGCACACATACAGATACTCATGTCTCTCTGTGTTCAGAGGAATAAAAATTGAAAAACAAGAGTTTCTAATTTCTTTGTGATCTTGCTCCTCCATTTCTTCCTCCTCCCATGTTTTCTCTTTCATTTCTCTTTTCCTCTTCTCTCCCGTGAGCTTGGTTGGCACTGCAATTAAGTCCTCTGGCTCAGGACTTGTCATTCAGCTTTGTCAGAGAACAGGATCCCTCTGTGGCTGAGATTTTGTGACCTCAGTTATGCGCTCTACAAATTTTGCTGACAGTGGCCTGGGGATGAGGGTGGGGTAGACAGGATTTGCTGCGGCCTCACTGGAGACTGAGGCTCGCTGGAGGTCAAAGCCCCTGTGTCTGGTGCCATCTTGGCTGGGAGCGCCCGGGGGCAGCATGCAATCATAGACAAAGGTTTGTTTTGGAGGTAAGGTAGAGTTGAGTCAGGGGACACTGAGAAGAATAGTCTATCAGGAGCAGTCCTGGGGTCAGTCTGTCTGTCTCCTGTCCACAGCATCAGGGGAGAAGAAGGAAGGCTGGTCATGGGAGTCCTACCTCGAGGAGCAGAAGGCTGTCACTGCCCCTGTCAGCCTCTTCCAGGACGTGAGTCGGATAATTTCTACCTGGGAAGAGCTTATATACCCAGTCCAGGAACTCAGCGCCACACTCAGGCCTTCTGGTGTATTGTGTGTCTGATATCCCTCAAAACCCTGGCAGAATGTAAGAGGGAGAGGCTGGTTAGGGTCCCAGAGAGAAAAGGGCCCACTCTGAGAGGCTTTCAGGATAGGAGGAAGTAAAGAGGTGGGAGTTGTGAATCCTGGTACCTTCTACTCCGTTCTGTACGCTGATCTCCCGTGACTTGGGTGAGAGGGAGCCCTAAGTCCAGCCCTGACTTAGCCCACATTTTTCAGAGGACCTGGGAGCTAGTCTGTCCTGTTCTGGATCACTCCACTAAAGATCCCCAAATAAATGACCCCTTCGGTTATACCAGGCGGGTGGGGCCTAAAGGCAGCTCCTTCACCCCAAGCTCACCAGGCAAGGATAAGGCTGGATGGAGGCTGGGTCCTCTCCAATCTGTGCGTTGACAGTACCAGGCAGTCACTCATAATAAGAATGGCTTCAGACCGGGCATGAAGTTGGAAGGCATCGACCCTCAACACCCGTCCATGTACTTCATCCTCACCGTGGCCGAGGTGAGCTGAGGCGTGCACCCACATCCCGGCGCTGTCTCTCTTGGTAGACTGATGGGAACGGCTGGGGCACAGAGGGCCTGGCTTAGATGAGGGAGACACTGCCCTGCCCTCAGGAAGTGCATAGTCTATAGGGGGTAATGGTGAGACACACAGAAAGCTAAAAAAAAAGGAACTCAAACCAAAGTATTGGGCATGATGACATTATGGAATGGCGTATCCTTCAGTGCTGAGGGAGTCTGAGGAGGAGAGATCCTGAGGGCAGGGATGATGGTGTGTGTGTCCACCCAAGGTCTTGTCCCCTAGGGGCTCACTGTGAGAATCAGTGCGATAAACACATCAGTGACATTCCATGGTGGGGGGTGAGAGGGGGCAGGAGGAGAGGTGTGAGCAGAGGAGCACCAAGGACGCAGGAGGAGCTTCTAGAGGAAAGGCCTCCTGCCAAGTCTTGAGGGATAAGTTGTGGATAAGTAGGGAATTCCAAGCAGAAGCAGAAAAGTACGGGGGCATGGAACAAGGCGCCAAGTTCAGGGAGCTGTCATTAGCTTGGTGAGGTCAGAGCAGTGTGTGAGTAGAGAGCCTTGAGAGATGGTAGCAGAAGGAAAGGTCCTCAGGGGCCCTGACCAGGTCTGAGCCTTGGTAGGTGACTTTGGGGTTCTGACCCAGAACTCAGGGCTCAGGAGTATGTGATCTGTCCCCAGCGCAGGATGGGAGAGCATGGAGCCAGGTGCAGGATGGGGGAAGAGTGGTGGGTTGGGGAACCTGCTAGCATTCAGGACCCTTGAGATCACCATGCTGGGCCAGGAGAGGTGGGGGAAAGGGAGTGGGTGGGTGTGTGCTGGCATCAGAGTCCCTGTGATTCCCCGTCATGGGGTTAGGTGTGTGGCTACCGCCTACGTCTGCACTTTGATGGTTATTCTGAGTGTCATGACTTCTGGATCAATGCCAACTCCCCTGACATTCACCCTGCTGGCTGGTTTGAGAAGACCGGGCACAAACTGCAGCCCCCCAAAGGTAAGGCCTAGCTGGGTTGCTCAAGTGAGGCAGCAAGCCCTCAGATCTTCCCTTCCTACCCGTGGGTCCCCTTCCCTATTCCCCATTCCATGACTAGCCTCTCTTCATCGAATCCCACTATGACTAGGCCCCAGGGCTTTTGCTTTGCCCTTGCCCTTTGAGTATCTACCAAAGTTAGGTCCCACCTCAGCAGGGTTTCCCTGGGCAAGTTCTTGAGGGTTGGGAGGTCCTTGGGCCTTCCTCAGTGTGGGGTGTCCTGGCCACGGCCCAGCCTCTGTCTGCACGGCACTCTCTTCTTCCCCCCTGAGGGGCCTAGGTTACAAGGAGGAGGAGTTCAGCTGGAGCCAGTATCTGCGCAGCACAAGAGCTCAGGCCGCCCCCAAGCACCTGTTTGTGAGCCAGAGCCATGTGAGTGCCCCTGAGTGGACACCCACCTTCTAGGACAGAAGCCCTGTGGCTGGCCAGGCTGACTCATCAGAAGAGAGATCACCTATCAGTGCTCTCAGCTTTGTTTTGATCTCTTATCCCAAAGGCGAGGGGCGTTCTGGGCAGGCCAAGGGCCAGAGGGGAGCTGGTTATAGGTTCCTCCCAGTTTTCCCCACCACACTATCACAGAGCACCCCCTGTGAGTCCCTGGCCCGCCATCACCATGCTGTGCCAACAGGGGCACTTACTCGCCCTCCGAGGTCTGGCCCCAGGGACCATACCTACAGCTTCCCAGGTGGCTGGTGGCATTCTGGTGTTCTATCTGCCCGTGGGACAGGAAATGCAGACTTCTAAGTCAAACTGTGTAAACCCTGGTCCCACCATTGACTAGCACTGTGGTCTTGGGCAAATTATTTTATAAAATGGTGATGATAATACCCTCTCCATTTCGTAGTCAAGGTCATGAAAGGTGACAGCTTTTGAAGCTCTTGCCTGACAGACACTCTTCCTCCCCTCTCGCCACCTCACGGCAGCTCCTCCTTCCCCAGTGCCCCACCATCGACCCAGCTACCTCAGTGTACACTAGGCCAGGCTTGTCTGGGGAGGAGAGGCTCTCTGGGCGAATGTGTAGCTTCCTGCTTGTCACTCATTTTCCACCACAGTGAGGTGTCTTCTGAGCACACCTTGGAGGTCACAAGTTCCCAAGTGGCTCAGGGCTGGGCGTTGTGACACTGTCCTGGAGAGACCCTCTTTCTCCCCTATCCTCCCCACTCGACTCCCCCACCGCAGGCATGTTTTCTAGAGAACCCACTCCTTCCTGTGCCAGTGGGTTCTGGGTTAGTGCTAGCCAGCCTGGGCCTGGTCATGGCAGCCCTTCTTCTTGCCCCCAGAATCCTCCACCCCTGGGTTTCCAGGTGGGCATGAAACTGGAAGCTGTTGACCGCATGAACCCATCCCTCGTCTGTGTGGCCAGCGTGACAGACGTGGTGGACAGCCGCTTCCTGGTGCACTTTGACAACTGGGATGATACTTACGACTACTGGTAGTGTATGGGCCCAGACTTGGCCTGGGGGCGAGGGGGAGAGAAGGTGGCAGGAGCGGGAGGCAGTACTTTCAGACCTCAGGCACTACGGAGCCCCTTCCTGGTCCTGATGTTGATAATTGCTCCAGGGCATTGCTGACTGTCCTGTTGCTTTGCTCTGTATCATAAGAAACACAATGTAATATTAAATGTTTCATCTAAAAGTACCAAGGTTAGGATTAGGACGAGCAAACCCCCGTGATTCATGATTTTCCCTCAGATACTATGGTAGTCCTAGAGTCTAGCTAATGCTGCCATTTTCTGACTTTTTTTTTTAATCCGCTGTCTGTGTAGCAATCACTAAGCAGTAGAATGAGGGTGGGCACTGAAGCCATGCGGTCATAGTCCTCAGTGTCACTCGAGACAGTGAAGTGTTCTTGGTTTCAGGTGTGATCCCAGCAGCCCTTACATCCACCCGGTGGGCTGGTGCCAGAAGCAAGGAAAGCCCCTCACCCCTCCACAAGGTGACCCTGCACCTGACAACATGCCCTTCCCTGGGCCTGGCCCCACAGCCCCTCCTCCCTTCTCTTACCACTACCTTGTTAGCTGGGTCCTTAGGATCTGGGTAAGGGGACAGATGTGTCCTAGAGCCTCATCTTGGCTTAGGAGTTGAGGAACCTTTGATGTTAGGAGAGACCTGTCAACCCAGGACTGTGTTGAGGTATAAAGGAAGAAAGTTAAAGGACCCCTACTCAGCACAGGAGGAGTCCAAAGCAAAGAAAGCCTGTCCTTTCCTTTTGGAGAGTTACAGCGGCCCATATAGAGTTGGTTCAGATGGGGCTGGGGTTGGGGCTGGGGCTGGAGTAGCAGGGCCAAGAAGGGGAATGGGGGCAGGCTTCCTAGACAGCCCTGTGAACTGTGTGGGGGTGATGTGCTTGGCTCTGGCTAGCACCCCTCCACCTCAGGTGCCTCTGCCAGCAGCTGGCTCTGGTGGTGCAGGTTGGGGATTCTCCAGGCTCCCAGTCCTGTCTGGGGACAGAGAGCGCTCCCCTAGTGTGCCGGGGTGCCTAGACATTGTTCTCATCCTTTCCTCCAGACTACCCGGACCCTGATAGCTTCTGTTGGGAAAAATACCTGGAGGAAACTGGGGCCTCTGCTGTGCCCACCTGGGCCTTCAAGGTGGTGAGTCAGCTGTCTGCTCCCAGAGCTGACCTCTGGGAAGGCATGGAGCATTCAGCCGGCCAAATGGAGTGCTCCCGCTTTGGCAGGCCACAGTTTCTGAGGCACAGCACTTGAGCTCTCTTCTTGGGGCCCCAGTTCTACTGAGCTGGGCCTTGGCCTGAAGGCTGCTGTCCTCCTGCAGCGACCCCCACACAGCTTCCTGGTCAACATGAAACTGGAGGCCGTGGACCGCAGGAACCCAGCCCTCATTCGTGTGGCCAGCGTGGAGGATGTGGAGGACCATCGCATAAAGGTGGCTCCGGGCCCCTTGGGCAGGGGGAGTGGACAGGCTGTTTGGGCGCGAGTTCTGTAGACTGGATAGAGGTCAAGGGCATGGCATAAGCCAGAAATAAGGGAGGCCCAAGGTTGTAAGGAAGAGAAGTCTACACTCACTGCAGGTTGTAGGGAAGAAAGGTCTGCACTTGGAGCTGAAGATCTTGGGTCTTGCTCTAGCCTCATCTGTGACTTATCTTTGTGGGCTTGGACCAGTCATTTCTCCTCTCTGAGCCTATCAAATGAGCCTAATGACCCTTGTCCTGTGCATGGACTGATGGGAGATGCCAGTAACTTAAATGAGTGAAGCTCTCAGAAAATATGGTGGCTTAGGCGGATTATTGTGAGGCTGGCGTGTTGGTTCTTCCAGTCCAGGAGGTTGCTTCTGACAGGCCCCAGGGATAGGGAGAGCCTCCTGGAGTCTGGAGGACCTCCTGGCTGAGCTGGGCTCCATGAGGAACACCTGACCTCCAACAACCTTTCCTCCCCAGCTCCACTTTGATGGCTGGAGTCATGCCTATGACTTCTGGATTGACGCCGACCACCCAGACATCCACCCTGCAGGCTGGTGCTCTAAGACAGGGCATCCCCTGCAGCCTCCTCTCCGTGTGTACCCTTAGGGCACTCTGACCCTTTCCTACTGATGTCCGACCCTGCCCCATGAGCTCTTACCATCCCACCCCTCTAGCTTGCCCAGGGAATTCTGATTGTCATGCACAGGTGGGCTCTAGTGCCCACCATGAGCTCTGGGATCCCCTATCCCCCTGCCTCAGTGCTCTCTGCTACACTGACTTGTGCTTCTGGCTACCCCAGTTGTTGGGTTCAGAGTGCTGAGATGTGCAAGGGTAGGCTCACTTAGCATGTGCCTGGGAGGGAGTTCTCTCAGCATCTAGCAGAGCTACACAGAGCAGACAGTATGTTTGCTAAGGAAACAGGGTTCCCTTAAGTAAAAAATCCTGGTCCCTGGAGGTGGGATGGGAAGTCAGGTCATTGGACCACTCAGCTCCAAGTCACATGGGGTGTTGATCCTTCTTGATTATTCTCCAAACTTGAGTCAGGCCTAAAGAAAGTTACCAGAGAAAGAAACAGGGAGGCAGACAGAGTAACGTACTTGTGGCTGATGAGGCTTCTAAGCTACAGCTGTGCCCACACCGACTCTGAGTTGATCTTCTCCCTGAGGGTTTTCCTCTCAGAGACAGAGGGCGGCCTGGGGTTTCAGCAAAGGGTATGAGAGCCAAGCCCTTATTCCCCAGAGAGGGGCAGATACACAGGAGCCAGAAATGACATCACAGCCTAGGTGAGGGCCCCTTTAGCTGGGGAGCTAGCTTCTAGTACCGACTGACCTTCCCTGCCCTCCCCCCCCACCCAAACCCTGACCTAGGACCCTATGCTAACTCTCCTTCCTGCTCCCCCAGGACCCAGAGAGCCCAGCTCTGCCTCGCCCGGGGGCTGTCCCCCTCTCAGCTATCGCAGCCTGCCACAGACGAGGACCTCCAAGTACAGCTTTCACCACCGGTGAGTGAAGGGCTCCTGCTGAGAGACCCTCGGGCATTGCTGGGGGTGCAGGATGCTCTTTCACAGCTCCAGAGTGCTGCCAGTCAGGCTTCCCAAAAACACACTCTCCGAATGGGGCTTGTTCTCCATCGGGAACAAGCAGATTCAGCCCAATTTAAGCCGCCTTCTTCCTCTTCCTAGGAAGTGCCCGACTCCTGGTTGTGATGGCTCTGGCCATGTCACAGGCAAGTTCACAGCTCACCATTGCCTCTCGGGCTGCCCGCTGGCTGAGAGGAACCAGAGTCGGCTGAAGGCGGAGTTATCGGACGCAGAGGCCTCGGCCCGTAAGAGGAACCTCTCGGGCTTCTCCCTAAGGAAGAAGCCTCGCCATCATGGCCGGTGCGGAGGGCAAGGGTGCAGGGCCTCGTGTCCTCTTGGGCCAGGCCAGGCACTGATTCCCTGCCACGGACCCGGTCCCTCTCTCTCCAGGATTGGACGCCCTCCAAAGTATCGGAAGATCCCACAAGAAGATTTCCCCAGTAAGTCCTGACTCATCTACTATCCTGTGCCCTCCACCAAGTGTTCACAGTGAGTGCTTAGTAATTGGTGGAATTGAGTCACTGGGGGGACCCAGAGGGGCAGCCAGAAGGGAGGCTGCCTCTTCTTTTCATGTATGCAGAGCATAGAGCAGTGGTGACAGCACAGGAGCCACCTCAGATTCCAGTCCCACTTCACTGAGACCCTGTCGTGAGCCTGCGGGAGACATGGAGCCTCTTTGGGCTTGGGCTCTCTGCTCTGCGGCAGGAGGGTGCCCCCCAGCTCTGCTCCTCTCAATTCTTGGCCTCCTGGAAGGGAGGCCTTGGGTTTCATTTTTTAGCTGTGTGACCTTAAGCAAGTCACTTAATATCTTCGAGTCTCAGTCTCATTTGAAGACACGAACAATACTTCTGTCAGATGTCAAGTACCTGAAATACTAGCACTTAGCAATACTGTTTACTGAGCACCTACCATGGGCCAAGCAGTGTTACTGGTGCTTTCCGTACACTGTTGCCAACCCTCACAGGTATCCTGTAATGTGGATACCCTTCTATTCTTCTGAAAGAAGAGGAATGGGAACTCAGAGGGTGAAGTCACTTGCCTATGGTCACTCGCCTAGTACGGGGCAGAGCTGGGATTCAGACTTGGGTCTGACTTGTGCTCTGCACTGCTGGTGTAACAGACTGGAAACTCCTAACCTGAATGTCAGTTGACCCCTCGATCTCCATTGTCTTAGCTTGGGTGCCACAACCAAGTACCACAGACTTGGTGGCTTAACCACAGCAATTTATTTTCTCATACTTCCTGAAAGTCCAAGATCAAGGTATCCGCAGGGTTGGTTTCTTCTGAGACCTCGCGCCTTGGCTTGCAGGTGGCTGCTTTCTCGCAGTGTCCTCACGTGGTCTGCCCCCTATGCATGTGTACCCCCACTGTCTCTACGCATGTCCAATACTCTTTTCTTGTAAGGACACCAGATTAGATGAGAGCCCACCCTAACGGCCTCATTTTAACTTACCTGTTAAAAGACCCTGTCTCCCAATACAGGTGACCCTTGAACAACAGGGGTTTGAACCACAAGTGTCCACTTATGTGTGGATTTTTTATAGCACAGTACCATAAATGTATTTTCTTTATGCTTTTCTTGTAACATTTTCTCTAGCTTTATTCTAGGGATACAGTATATAACCCATATAACATACAAAATATATGTTAATTGACTGTTTATGTTATTGGTAAGACTTCTAGTCAACAGGCAGCTACTAGTAGTGAAGTTTTAGGGGGAGTCAAAGTCATACGTAGATTTTTGCTTGCATTGGGTATTGGTGTCCCTAACCCCCACATCATTCAAAGATTGACTCTACAGTCTCATTTAGAGGTACTGAATGGGTGAGCAAGGTGGGACCCAGATGAAGCATCTCTCCTGCTAGACTTTCAGGGTTACGGCTTCAACATATGAATTTGGGGGGAACCCATTTGAGCCCATAGCATGCTCCCAAGGAGGGACACAGTGACTGAGCCTCCACTGGGTGACATTCGCCTCACATCTTCAGCCCCCGGTACAGGGCCTGATACACAGCAGGAACGCTAGGGATCTTGCCTTAGTTGAGTTGAATGCACATTGTCTTAAGGCTGGAAGAGACCATGAGAGATCACCGGGTTCATTGCATAGTTTGTGGGCAGGACTTAAGCTAGTCCAGTTCTCCAGGAATAGTCTTGGCAACCTGGACAGTATATAGCTTGATGGTTAAAAGCACAGCCCCGAAGTCAGATGGCCTTTTATGGACTGTGAGACCTTGGGCAGGTGACCCCCTCTCTAAGCCTCCACTTGCTCATCTGTGCAACACTGATAATATGTCCACCTCAAATAAGCCTCCCAAAGGCTTAAATGAGAAGGTCAGATAAAGGGCTTAGTACCAGTACCTACTAGTATTATGAGCCCTGTCTGTGGCTGACCTGCTCTTGCTGCCATTCTGTACTCCTCTTGGTGGAAACAGAATGCACTTCCTGCAGCTTCAGGCTCGAGTGAGGAGGTGCTTGGCCAACCTCTGGGCCCTCAGTATGAGGACTCCTGGGGATGGACTGCAGTGGGCACCTCTTCTACCCTCCCCAGGAATACCTGGCCAGCTTCCCTTCTAGGACCAGATTCTGACCAACAGAGGGCGCCTGCCTCTGTGTTCATTCCAGAAGTATCTTGAGAACTTGAGAAATTTAGTCTTTCCAGAGACTGAGGCTGTGGCCTAGAGAGGGTGAGGAACGACTTACCTGATGATGATGATGATGATGATGATGATAATGATAATGCTATAGACGGAATGTGTCTCCCCACAAATTCACATGTAAAACCAAATCCCTAACGTAATGGTATTTGGAGGTGTGGCTTTGGGGAGGTGATGAGGTCATGAGTGTGGAGCCTTCACAAATAGGATTAGTGCCCTTCTAAAAGAGACCCTGGAGAGCTCCGTAGCTCCTTCCACCGAATGAGGACCCAGCGAGAAATTGACTGTATGTTAACCAGGAAGTGGACCTTCACCATATACCAAATCTGCTGGTGCCTTGATCTTGGACTTCCCAGCCTCCAGAACTGTGAGGAATACATTTCCATTGTTTATAAGCCAAAACAAAACAAAAAACCAACAGCTTCTGACCTGCCCCTAGTTGGCTTGAAGTTCGATAAGACATACTGACTAGGAGAGCTCCCATCCTGTGCTCTGGGGAAGAAAGATAAGGAGCAAAGCTCCTACAGCCTTCTGGCCTTGTCCCCTGAGACTTCTCACCTGGTACGTGGAGAACTAGGAACCTGGACTTCAGAGACAGGAGGCCAAACCTGTGGCCAGGAGATGAAGTGCTAGTGGTGGAAGCTGTTAGGGGAGATTTTGCCTGTGTCGCAGGCAAGGCTGAGAGCAAGCTGAGCTGTGCACAGTAGCAGGCTCCTTGTGGTGCTGAAGCCTGGGCTCTTTGGGGTCTGATGAGCAGAGATGGCAGCAAGTAGGAGGAGCTACAGAGAATAGCACATGGGGCTGCTAATACTAGGATCCCCGAGGCTCTGAGGGCAGCAGGGTAAAAGGCTGAAGCTATGATCCAAAGGATCAGGGGAAGACAGTCTGTGACGAGGTGGGGTGAGGGGCAAGGGGCCTGTGAGCTGCAGCCATGTGTCTAGAACTAATGCCCACTGAAGAGAAAGAGGCAGCTCCCTTGGACCCTTGGCAGATAGAGGCAGGGCAAGCCCCATGGGACACTGACCACGTGGCCCAAGGCCAGCCAAGGCTGGGAAGGTAGGCAGGGGCCAGGCTTGTCAGCGGCCAAAGGTAGTTGACCTGCAGGCATGCGAGTGCCAGGCCTGGCCAAGGGGAAGGCCCAGCAGAGCAGCGTCACTCATGAGATCATAGAGCAGCCAAGGCTGGAGGCCAGGAGCCAGGCCTGCAGGAACAGGTCAGGAAGCAGAGGGGCAGGCAGCGTGGAGTTGGCGAGCGGGCCAGGGGTCCCCTTCCAGATGCCAGGGGGAGCAGACCAGGCTGGGGTGGGAGCAGGGGAGAGGAATGGAGCTGGAGGCAGTGGCAGCGACTGGCAGGGTGGGTTCCCACACAGAATCACCCTGATGCCGTGACAGTTGGTCAGGGCTCAACGGAAGAGGAGGGCAAATCGGATGGGCTTCTGCCGCCAGGGCTGAGCTTGTTGCCTGTTAGAGGCCATTCTGATGCAAGGTATCTAGAGAATGGTCAGGAACGCGACAGGGTGATGTGGCCTCAGAGAGATGGGGCTGGAGTCTGTCCTCACAGCTAACTCCTGAGAGTCTGTAAAGCAAGGAACTCCCTTAACCGGGAGGAGCGAGTGATGGGTGAGGAGTCACGTCTCACTCCCTCTTGGCTCTGCAAGACTCTCAGAAGGGAGCCTTGGTCCTCCCAAGTGGCATGGGTCTGAACTTAGTCCTCGACATCAGTGTGCCAGCCTCTGCCTCTGCCTCTGCCTCCAGCACTGACTGCCGATGCCATGCACCAGTCCCTCTTCATGTCAGCCCTGTCGGCTCACCCTGACCGCTCCCTCTCTGTGTGCTGGGAGCAGCACTGCAAGCTCCTGCCGGGAGTGGCGGGCATCTCAGCCTCGACAGTTGCCAAGTGGACCATTGATGAGGTGAGAGTGAGGACCTGTCCTCCTTCCTCTCCCCTACTTTGGCCTCTTTCAGCACACCCTGGTGGGAGGGCTCAGGAAAGGCCCTCTTCAAGCAGAGGTGGACACTGCTCCTGACGCTATCGGCTGCTCATCCCTCCTATCCACAGTCCCTCTTGGTGCCCAGCAGGGGCTAAGAGATGGTTTGATAGACCTACCCTGGTGGATGGGGAGAGGGACGTGCTGCTAGTTCGCATGAAAGTCTAGCAGGAGAGATGCTTCACCTGGGCCCCCCCTTGCTCACCCAGCAGCAGACACACAAGGATCCTCTTAGGCTAATAAGAAAAAGCAACACTGTCAAAGCCTAGAGAGCACCAAGGCCACATGGGCCCACCTTTACCCTACACTCCCAAGCCCCTGTCCCCTTGGCAACATGTCTTCTTTGGTTTCCAAGGTCTTCAGCTTCGTTCAGACCCTGACCGGCTGTGAGGACCAGGCACGACTCTTCAAAGATGAGGTGAGGTGCAAGTGCAGAGTGGGGACAGAAGGGTCACTCACTGAGACGACAGGGAGCAGATGCCCTCGCCAGCGCTGCCCCCTGCTAGGGAGGGCCCTCTCTTGTCTTGCCTGCGGGAGACTGGTCACAGTGACCCACGTCTCTGGAAAAAATCCGGTATGGACCGTGGCCCAGCTTGCTAACCCTCTGTGTTCAGATCACCTCAGGCAGGAAAATGCCTCTTGGAGACAGGGCTCCATTCACTCCTCTGCTCTCTACCCAGCTTGTTTTCCAAACCTAGCTCACTAGGGACAGTAAGTTAAAGTGTGTCTTGAATGGCACAAGTATGCCTTTTACTGCAGGATCCTAACATATGCTTAATTCCAAGACCCAGAAGGTTACCAAGGTTACGAAGCAGTGAGTTGTACATAAAAGAACCCTAGCTTTACATACAATGTGGGTGTGATTCCCAGTTCTGCTAGTTTACTATGGGCTCTTTACTATGTCTTAGTCTGTATCTTCTTATCTATAAAATGGAGATAAAACAGGTATAATGAGGGTTGTAATGATGACAACCTTGCAGGGCCATTGTGAGCATTGGAAATGAGGAATGGCTCATTGGGCCAGAATGCCTAGGATAATTATATCGCTAGCCGACCATAGAATAATCTACAAATCATATCGCTATATAAGAATGCCTGGTACAGTGGGGTCTCAGTGGTGGTTCTGACTCTCAACAGTCATCCTTAAGTAAAAAACTTTATTGTGAAGTGGAAGGGAACTTGGAGTTTGTTTAGATCTTCCTTCCAAAGAATACATGCATCCATCCCCCTTCACCCAGGAGAGCGGAGTCTCAGCTCCTCCTACGTGCCCCCACAGGTCAGGCGCCCATGAGAAAGAAGTCTGCTCCTCTTCCCCTAGAAGACTCTCTTTTTCCAGACCCAGCACAGCCATTTCTTCCTAGTATCCTTGTGTGGTGGCGCTCACAGTCTCTACCCCATCCTGGGCGTTTGCCTCCTGGGCTGGTGATCTTACTGTAACATATGTGTTCAGAGCTGTCCCCCGGTTTCAGATGCCTTCTGACCAGCCCAGAGCACACTGGTTGTGTTCTCCCCTACATTCTTTTTGGTTTTGTTTATAAAAGGAGCAGTTTTATATATAGCTTTATAGAGCAGTTTTAGATTCACAGCAAAATTGAGAGGAAGGTGCAGGATTTCCCATATGCCCCCCACTCCCTGGTTATCGATTGCACTCACCAGAGTGGCACATTTGTTATAATTGTTGAATAGACACCCCAGTGTTTTTTAACAGAGATGAACATGTACACGGAGCAAAATGCCCACATCTTAAAAGTACAGTTCCACAAGTTCTGTGAGACATATACACCCTGTTCAAGATATAAAACCTGTCCATCATACTAGAAAGTTCTTTCTTGGCCCCTTTGTTAGTCCCTGCCCTCATGGGCAAGCCTGTCCTAATTTCTAGAGCCAATGGGTTTGTTTTACCTGTTCTTGAACTTGACATAAATGGAAGTGCAGCTTTTATTCTTCGGTGTCTGTCCCTTTTCACTCAGTGTCATGTTTTCGAGGCCCGTCTGTGTTGTGTATCCCAGTAGCTCATTCATTTGTACTGCTGAGTGGTGCTCCATTTTATGAGGAGCCCACGGTTCTGTTAATGGGTATTTGGGTTCTTTTCTCTTCCCCTACATACAAACCCTAGATTTTTGTTCCTCAGCAAAAATGAAGTTTGCACTAGCTTCATGATATCCACATCAGACCAGTTTGGAGGTCAGGGAAGTCCCCAAGTGCCTTTTATATCAACTATCCATTACAGTCTAATTACACTTTCCAGTTTGTTACTTGTACCACTGGGTTTTATTTATTTTTTATTAACCTAATGTAAAACTTTACATTTATCCCTATTAAATGTTATTTTGTTGGTTTCATAGTCTCATTGTTTTAAATCTTGATTCTGTCATCTGTGGTATTAGTAAGCCTTTCCAGTCTCATACAGCTTGTCATTTGATAACTAAGCCACGCCTTCACTGCACATGTTTAATGAGATAGAACCATGTGGTGCCCGTTAGAGGTCCTCCCTCCATGACAGCAGTCATAGATCAGTGCCTTCTGAGTGCAGTTGTTCAGCCGGCCACAGAAGCATGTGACACTTTTTCCCTCCAGCACTCTCCCCGTATCAGAAGAAGGGCATCGTGTCCCCCCCCACTCCCCCGCCCCGGCAGAGTGTCTGCTGCTTATCCCCAATGCACCATGGTCTGTGGTACAAAAGCAGTGACCAAAAAGGGCATAGGGTGACCGCCAGCATAAAATGGAGTCTCGGTGGGGAACAGGACCTTTGTGAGGGCTGAGGATGACCTTTTCCAGGGCATCCACTCCCCTGGGATGAACCGTGCTCCAGGGAGCAGCCTTTGTCAGGCTGGATAGATGCATTCAGACACACAGGTGCTGGGCAGTCATTAGGGGGATGTCTCACGAGTGAGAAATTAGGGCAAAGTGGATGGATGGCCTTGTGGGTCGTCAGTCTGTCCAGTCTGGTGGTCATCACTGATGGTCCTAAAGAAGGTCTGCCTAGATTCAGAAGAAATCCCTGTCTAGCCCTCTCTCCCTGCCACCTCAGTCAAGGATAGCTCAGAGGTGATAGTGTGGATGTCACTAGCAGCTGCCCGTTGCTGCGCCCCTGCCCTGCCCTGCCCCAGGGCTCTGTGGAGGAGCACCAGGGCAGGGGTATTGAGGCCAATGTCAGGGAGGGCCTGCAAGACATTATGCACCTGCCACCAAAGTCAGACTGGGCAGCAGAAAGAGAAAAAGCATGAGTGTGAACATGGGGGAGCCAGTTCTCTGTCCTTCTCTGTCCCCATCGCTATCTTCCTTTTTTCCTTTCTCCCGCCTCCTCTCTCCTTTTCCTTCCTCTTCCCATCTCTGTCCTCCTCCCCTCCCCCCACACATCCTGGACTCCTATCTCGTGCTCCCCTGCACACCCCACCTCTCCTCTCCGTCACCCCTTCCCATGGCCCTCTCCACCTTCTCCGCTTTCCACCTCCCTCCTCCGACCCCTCAGATGATTGACGGCGAGGCCTTCCTTTTGCTGACACAGGCGGACATTGTGAAGATCATGAGCGTGAAGCTGGGGCCAGCCTTGAAGATCTATAACGCCATTCTCATGTTCAAAAACGCCGATGACACCTTAAAGTGAGTGGCTCAGGGCTGGGCTCTCTGCCATCCCGAGCTGGGCCTCCCTCCGCAGCTGATGCTTCTTTCCTGACTTGAGTTCCTCATATCCCACCCATACCCCCACCACCCTCTACATCTTACCAGGGGGAGGTCCTCCTCCTCTTGGCTCCTTCCTGCGAGGTACGTGGGAGTCCTCGCCCCTCCTGAGTCCTGGGGCTCATCTGCCACCAGGCACACCAGTGAGGGTGTGACTGGGCTGGGGGAACATTACTGGTGGAGTGGATTGGAGGGGCCCTGCCTCTGGCAGCCCCACATCCCCAGCTGACCTGTTTGATCACCAAAGGGTCTTTTTCTTAGTGGTTAAGGACAGTCTGGTAGAATGGGAGTCCTCCAGTTGGAGGCTCATTTCTCTTGGGCCTCTCTCCGTGCTTTTCTTTCCTTGGCTCCGACCCAGAAGTGACCCAGCCACAAACATATTTACTCATTCTGATGTCTGGTTTCCTGGGCAGGGCCCCCAGCCATGGCCCACCCAGACCCCACTGGCTCCTCCCCGTTAGATGGGTGAGCTTCAGAAACAGGTTGTCATAGGATCCGCTGGGAATCTCTGGCTGCTTTTCTCCCTTTTGCCCAAAAATGGGGGATTCTGAGCCAAGATGCCTTCCTAAGCATGCCCTATTCTGGATCAGCTAGCATTTTAGTGGCCCTTGCCAAGCCCTGTTTCCAGCAGAGTAGGTGGTAAGAGCCTGTTTTACCCATGCAGAGAAGATCCCCATCCACCCTTCCTGTATCAAGTGTGGGGAAAGGGTATGTCAGACAATCTCGGATCTTTGGCCAGAGGGGCAGCTCCAGCAGGCATGGTGGCCCTTAAAGCTGGGCTTAGCATCCTTCCCTGCAGCCATGGATCTCAGCCAAGGTAGTGCCCATGGGGTGGGGACCCCATGCCTACCAGGCCTCTTGTCATGGGAATGTGCTACTCTGTCCAGCACACGTACCTCACAACATCACATTCGACTTGTCCCTTAAATGTCTTGCTCTTGAGGAGTCTTACGAAGCTCACTTGAAATTGGGAGTTGGGAAAGTGAATTCTTCAATCTTTGAGTTTGCTGTGTCCTGTAAGCCTTTCTTAACTACTGTCCATCTGTCTTGCACTGCCAGCCAGGTGCCTGCTGGGGCTCTGGGACTTCAACCTTTTCTGTCCAAGTAGGGGCCTAGGCTTCACCGAGCCACTGCCTAACCAGCCAGGGTGGGGCTGAGGCAGAGGGCCCAGCAGCAGCTGGCTGCATGTGGAGGTGAAGAGCAGCTGCCAAGGCCCTGTGGCCCCAGGTGCTGACACAGGCCCACAGGGTGCAGAGCCAGGCCCCTTCCCTCAGTCACGTGATGTGTTTGTGCACACAGTGTCCTCAGAAGTGTTTGACAGGTGCATCCATGAGGCTCAGTGTTGGGAAAATGTCAAGGGCTATTGTTAAAATACAAAGCTTTATCTTTCCCATAGAAGTGGGATACCCAAAGCTCTATTGATTTCCTGCCACAGCCCAACAGGGGACCCTGTCTCACCTGGGCCCAAACAGCTTTGCTTTGTGCAGGGGCAGCCATCTAGCCGCCCAGCTGAACTCCTGCAGGGCTTCAAATGTTCCTTCCCTTTTGGCCCGAAGGGGCAGCTCTGAGCACACAACCTCCCTGGGCAGAAAGGCTCGGGTTTACGGAGATTGCTTTGATGCCTCCTTGGCCAAGAGTAAGGAGGAACAAGTATGAGCCTCTCCAACTTGGTCACTGGGGTGATGGCAAAACTCACCAGCTCCTTGGCCTTGTCTGTTCCTCTTGGAAACCGAGGAGAAACTGGCCTTGTGGAGTGAGGAGAAGGCAGCAAGCATGTGCGGTTGTGCTGCAGGACCTCCCCATGCCTAAGGAGCCAGGCAGGGACAGCTTTGTGGCGTGGCTCCGCCAGTCACACTTCTAATGCTGGCCTGCTGGAAAGGCAGGATGGACTAAGGGCCTGGAGAGAAGGGCACTCAGGCCTCCGAACTTGGACATCTTAGCACTTTCTGCACCAATGTCAAACTGTGGCAAGAAACCATAAGAAAGAGGTCCATCCTGTCCGCAGCTGAGATCTCCACACCTGAACCTGGGGGCACAGTGGAGGGAGGGACTTGGCACCAATGATGCGCCATGTGCCTCTACCCTGCCCTCAGCAGCAGACGCTGCTTACACTTTGGCCCTGGAGCTGTGCCCAGCCCTTGTCTGGCCAGAGCTTCGGTCTGTGAGGACCTTTCTATTTAGTTTCTGAAGCAGAGAGAATGATCCCAGAGTTTGAAAATGAAGCCTGTTTGCACTTTCATTCACATGGCACTTTGGTGGAATTGTTTTTGTACTCTCCGTGTGGGGATGCCTGTGTGTTCTTTCAGAGAATCCTCTGGCTTAAGGTAAAGTGACTCTTGACTCTTGAGGGAGAAAAATTTATAAACTGTGGTGTTTTGTCAGTGTGTTGAAACAACATAAATAAACTTGGAACATCTGGATGATATGCAGTCAGAGTCTGTTTCTATTTTCTTGGTAAAACATCCAGAAAACACAAAATGAATAACAATAGGGCCATTACTGAAGAGAATAAAGCATTCTCTTTTGTTGTTAAGGGGGTCCTTATTTCTATTTTAAAGATAAGAAACAAAGGATAAAGATAAATGGGTATACTTCTCTACCCTGAGAAATATAAACAATGGGAACCCCCTGAGAACAGTGTGCAAAGGGCCTGACCCTTGACTATTTATAAATGGACAGGGGCAGAAAATTAAATGAAGCCCTCCAGTATTTAAAATAACATCAAACTTTCAGGTGGAGAAGTGTCAAGCTGAACAGTTAGACTTCGAGTTTCCCAGATATTGGGAGCAAATGGAAAAGTGGCAGAAATGCTGTTTGATCCCATAAACCCCTTTCTTGTCAATATGCTTCATTTCTTTGCCCTGCTCTTCCAGACTACTTAGCTAGAATACCAACTGTGGAGCTGTCCAAGCCCATCCTCTCCACCTCTACCAGAAGCTCACCTGGCTAAGCGGATCCGTGCTATGGTTGAATGAGTCTCTGGCTTCAGCGTGGACCCCCAGGGCTGCCTGGGAAGCAGCTGGGTTTTTTAAGGAGTTACCTCTGATTTCCCATTTCACACGTCTCCAACATCCTGCCCTATTACCTTCGGTGTTGTCTCACTATACGTGTTCATCGTCTATATCACAGAGAAAAATGGAACTCATCAGAAGGAATACCCCCATCTTCCTGCCACCTCATCTGCCAGCCTCCTCCCACCCATATCCATCCTTCCTTCTTTCCTTACTCATCACAGTAGAGGCATTGATCCTTCCACCTGTAGAAGCTATTCCTCCACCAGCTATGGCTGTTCTAAAGGGAAAAGAAACTGAGAGGCAAGAAGGCTTTTGGAAATTTAAAATTGATTGCAGAGATAATTCAACACATGGGTTGAAAGATAATGTGGATATTGCCCAGAAAGTAGAATAAAAAGACAAGCAAATGAAAAATAGGAAAGAATAAGAAATTAGAGGACAGCTGGAGGTCGAATATACAACTAACAGAAATGCCAATAAGAGAGAATACAGAGGGCAGCCCAGGTGGCTCAGCAGTTTAGCGCCTGCCTTTGGCCCAGGGCATGATCCTGGAGATCTGGGATCGAGTCCCACATCAGGCTCCCTGTGGAGAGCCTGCTTCTCCCTCTGCCTGTGTCTCTACCTCTCTCTCTGTGTGTGTGTCTCTCAGGAATAAATAAATCTTTAAAAAAAAAAAAAGAACAGAGAAATTATATATTTTTTAAAAACTTAAAAGAAAGTAAACTTCACAGAGTTGAAAGATACTAGTCTCTAAACTAAAAGGCTACACACTGCCCAACATAATAGGCGTAGAAGGAATGACACCAAGCTACAGTATCGTGAATATCAGAATAATGAGAACAAAGAAGATTTAAAAGCTTCCAGAGGGAATAACAAGTCTCATCCAAAAGAACATGAATCAGTAGCACTGAACTTCTCAATAGCAATAGTAGAAGCAAGAGAGTGGAGCAACACCTTCACAATTCCAAAGGAAAATTATTTCCATGCTAGACTTCTGTACCCAGCCAAATTGTCAATCAAATGTGAAGGGAGAACATTTTCAAACATACAAAGTTTCAAAATTTTATAACCTGTGAACCTTTCCTCAGAAAGCCACTGGAGGATGTGTTCCATCAAAATGAAAGAATAAGTCAAAAAAGAGGAAGATCCTAAAAATGTCAAGGTAGTTTAAAGTCAGGGGGCACCTGAGTGGCTCAGTGGTTGAGCATCTGCCTTTGGCTCAGGGCGTGGTCCCAGAGTACTGGGATCGAGTCCTGCATTGGGCTCACTCCAGGGAGCCTGCTTCTCCCTCTGCCTCTCTCTGTGTCTTTCATGAATAAATAAATAAAATCTTAAAAAAGAAAAGAAATGTAGTGCACCACATCACTAGAATGAAAGGGGGGGGGGGACATGATGATCTCAATTGATGCAGAAAAAGCATCTTTGAAAATCCAAAACCATTTCATAGTAAAAACAGAAAACTAGAGAATAGAGGGAACTTTCTCAACATGATAAAAGGCATCTACAAAAAACCCACAGCTAATAATATACTCAATGGTAAAAGACTTTCTCCCTAAGATTGAAACAAGACATGGAAACCCTCTTTCATTTCAAAAAATACTACTTTTCAGTATTGTATTGGAAGTTCTCGCCAGAGCAATTAGATAAGAGAAATAGATAAAGGGCACCCAAATGGGAATGGAATAAGTAAAACTACCTCTATTCATGGATGGCATGATCTCATATACAAAAATCCACGAACAATCTGCTAATGCTAATAATTTTAGCAAAGTTGCAGGGTATAAGATTAAGACACAAAAATCAAGTCACTTGTGTTTCTATAATACCCGGAACAAACAATCCAAAAAGGAAAGCAAGAGGGATCCCTGGGTGGTGCAGCGCTTTGGCGCCTGGACGCGATCCTGGAGACCCGGGATCGAATCCCACGTCGGGCTCCCTGCATGGAGCCTGCTTCTCCCTCTGCCTACTATCATGAATAAATAAATAAAATCTTTAAAAAAAAATAAACAAAAAATAAACAAAAAAAAAAAAAGGAAAGCAAGAAAGCAATTCTACTTATAACAGCATCTAAAGGAATAAAATATCTAGGAATAAATTTAAAGAAGGAGGTGAAGGGCTTATATACTAAAAGCTACAAACCATTACTGAAAGAAAGAAGATGTAAATAAATGGAAAGACATCTGTGTTCATGAATAGGAAGACTTAAGATGATTAACATGTCAACACTACCCAAAGTGACCTACAGATTCAAACCTTATAAAAATGCCAATGGCCTTTTTTGCAGGAATGGAAAAGCTTATCCTCATATCCATATGAAATAGCAAAAGGACCCCAAAAGCCAAAACAGTCTTGAAAAAGAACGAAGTTGGAGGACTAAGATTTTTAACCTCAAAACCTGCTACAAATACAAAGTAATCAAAACAGTGTGATAGTGGCCCAAGGACAGACATAAAAAGCAACTGAAGAGAATTGAGAGTCCAAAAATAACCCCAAACATCCATGGCCAATTGACTTTTTGAAAAGAATGCTCACTTAATGGGTAAAGAACAGTCTCTTCATCGAAAGGTGCTGGGATCTCCACATGTGAAAATAATGCAGTTAGATCCCTTCTTTATACCATATAAAAAACAAACTCAAAATGAATCAATGACCTAAATATAAGAGCTAAAACTGTAAAACCCTAAGAATAAAATATACAAGTAAATCTCTGTGACTTTGGAATTGACAGTGAAGTCTTGAGGTGACACCAAAAACACAAGCAACAACAACAAAAAAACAAGTTGAAGTTCATTAAAATTAAAAACTAATGTGAATCAAAGGACTTTATCAAGAAAGTGAGAAAATACTTGCAAAGTATTTGCAAAATACTTTGGAAAGTAAGAAAGAGAGGAAATACTTGCAAATTGTCTATCTGACAAGGGTTCAATATCCAGAATATATATCTCTTAAAAACCAAACAACAAAAAGACAACCCCACCACCACCAAAATGGGCAGAGGACTTGCCCAGACCTTTCTCTAAAGAAGATGTACAGATGCCAACAAACACATGAAAAGATGCTCAGCAGCATTTGTCATTAGAGAAATGCCAATCAAAACCACAATGAGCTAGCACCTCACACCCACCAGGATAGCTGTCCTCACAAAAGTGGAAAATAATCATTGTTGGCAAGGGTATGGAGAAACCACTGGTTGGAATGTAACAGGCTGGAAAATGGATTGGCTGCTTGAGAGGTTTGCTTTCTCAAAAAGCTAAGCCTAGAATTACCACATTACTCAGAATTCCCACTCCTAAGTATATATGTGAAAGATGTGAAAACAGATACTTGTTGCCAGTGTTCACTGCAGCGTTATTCACAATAGCCAAGAAGTTGAAAGAACCCAAGTGTCCGTTGACAGATGACTGGGTAGACAAAATGTAGTCTATCCATACAACAGAATATTATTATTCAGCCGTAAAAAAGGATTAAACAACATGAAAGACCTTGAAGGCATGATGGTAAGTGGACTAAGCCAGGCACACAAAAGGACAAATAATGCATGAGTCCACTTATAAGAAATATTTAGAATAGGCAGGTTCATAGAGACAGAAAGGAGGTTGGAGGTTACCACAGGCTGGGAGGAGGGGGAATGGACCTGCAGGTGTGAGAGGGAGGGGAAATGGTGGGAGTGTGAGCGGGGGACCCAACAAAGCACAGAAAGTGAGCTGAATGTCAAGGTGGAGGGAATATTCATGGAGGTGGGTTCCCATCGGTTCAGGCTCTGGCTCCCCTTCTCATCCCTGAGAATGTGTTTTCGTATGACGTTTTGCACCCAAACATCAGAGTCCAACCAGCCAGCGGCAGAGGAAGGGACCAGGAGGGTGGCTGGAGAAGAAAGAGGAAGAGGAAAAAGAGAAGGAGGAGGATGGGGAGGAGATGCACCTCTGCAGCCTTGCTTCAGGGGTGGCCTCGCTTTCTGCAGCATCACGGAGGGGAAGGGCAAATTTAAAGCACTGCTGATAGCCATGTTGGTTGGTACAACTTTTTATAGTACTTTGGTAGATAGGTCAAAATTAACCCAGCACTCCCCACTGCAGGAGTTTATCAGACAGAAGCAGGAGCCCAAGGCCACAGGATATTAATACCATGATGTTCTCCGCGGCTTTGTTGGAATTATTGTGAAATTGGTAGCAGCCTAAATGTCCAAAAGCAAAGGGACAGTAAAGAGGGAACAGAAATGGGGAAGTTAATCCCATGTTATATAATATGATGCAGATATAAAAAAAAAACTGAATCTCTCCGTGTTGGCATGGAAAGATGTGCGTGAGAGAAAGTGAGTTGCTAAACAATAGGTATAGTGTGGCCCATTTTTCTGGGAAAACAGTATGAGATCTGTAGATTGGGTGGTAGACAAAGGTCTGGAAGGATGGTC